GCCATTGTTCTGTCTTCTTTTAAAAAGTTTCTGTTCATGTCCTTTCTGTTCATGTTTTTGTTAATTTTCTTAAGTTCTATGTAGATTCTTGTTATCAGCCCTTTATCGGATGTGTAGAATGCAAATATTTTCTCCCAAGTAATATTCATTGGGTGTCGGTCAGGTGGGAGGGAGGTGGTGGGGGGTAGGTAAACTCACAACTATGGATGCAGAGCGCACTGTATGGGGGAAGGGCACATCTGCAGCCCTGGCTTGGGTGAGGCAAAGTTATTATATGTAACCAAAATTTTTGTACCCCCATAATATTCTGAAATAAAAACAAAAGAATTCAGAGAGCAGGATATTGGAAGGATCCTCTACGTGAATTTTGAAAATACCAAGAACTAGAAATGTGTGCTGTTAAAAAGAAAACAATGTGAGGATGCTAACATTTTTTGGACTAATAGTGACCTGGGGTTCTATTGATAATTACAACAAAGAGGAGTAGCAGGTGGTATAGTTGTGTTGGCATAACCTTCAAAGGAACCAGAGGATTTTATGGAGAGGACATGGGAGATGATCCGGAATTGGTAACGAGATACTAGGAAGACACCTTATCCCATTTCAGGGCTCAGTGACATGAAAGATGCCTGCAGCAGAAACATGATTCAGAGGACAGGATTCAGGTGGAGCACAAAAGTAAAGGGGATAGTCTTAGAAGAGGTTAAAAATACAGGGTACTAATGTTCTATCAGCGAAAATGGCCTTCATTAGCTACTGTGCCTGAATACCCAGAAATTTCCATTTTCATGATATGAGAAAATAAGACAATACAATTTCCAGGGGTCATGTTAGTTTCTTAGGCTTCTATAACAAAGCCCACAAACTGGGCAGCTTAAAACAACAGGAATGTATTGTCTCACAGTTCTGGAAGCTATAAGTCTGAAATCAAGCAGAGCTACCCTCCGTCTGAAATCTGCAGGGGAGAATCCTTCCTCATCTCTTCCAGATTCTGATGTTTGCCAGTAATCCTTGGTGTTCCTTGGCTTGTAAATGTATCACTCTAATCTCTGCCGCCATTGTCATGTGGAGTTCCTCCTATGCGTCTCTGCCTCCTCTTCTTACAAGGACACCAAGCATATTGGATTAAGGGCCCATCCTGCTCCACTATGTCCTCATCTAACTAATTACATTTACAATGACCCTATTTTCAAATAAGACTTTATTTTCTGATGTACTGAGGGTTAGGACTTCAACATATTTGGGGGTGGGGTGGGGGAAATAATTCAACTCATAACAGGGTATTGAGAAAAAATAATACATCTTTTATGGAATGTGTTCATATTTTAAGTCACTCAGGTTTTGTCCTGCTCAGTAAATGAGGCTTAGTAACCCCGTGTTTAAGAAATTCCTATTGTTTGTAAAACACATGACAACCTAAACAGACAAAAAGCGCATATACACTATGCATATGATTTAAAGTCATATAACATAGAAGCATCTACTGATGAGTGTGATGATGCCACTGAACCTATTGGGATAGCCCAGTTGGCTCAGAAGGGAAGCATTAAGCTTTTAAGTTGAGGGTCTTGGCATTTCTTTCACTATTCTTATAGCTCTATTATTTTAAAATGTTTAACCAACTAATGCTCACAAGCCCATGAGTCTGTGAATGGGAGAAAGCTTGTAATAAAGAGATGCCATAATTTTTATCAACTGAGAAAATTTATTGTAATG